AGGAAGGAAGGAAGGAAGGAAGGAAGGAAGGAAGGAAGGAAGGAAGGAAGGAAGGAAGGAAGGAAGGAAGAGGATAGAGTAAAATGCTCAAGTACCATTAAAACTCAGAATCTGGGACATATACACGTGAAACTACCTAGTTTTCCACCACAAACAGCAAGGAGAAATATGCACACATTAAAAGTAACCTAACAAGGTGCAGCGGCATGAGTCTACAGTGTCACCAATGGAGATACCACATGAGCTCAGGACTTTCAGAACTGCCTGGGCAACAGACGAAGACCTCATATCAAAATTTTAAAACTGAAGGAATAAATAAAGCCAGGTGTGGTGTTGTCCACCTGTAACCGTAGCACATAAGAGGCCGAAGCAAGGGCATCTTGAGTGTGAGACCTACCCAAGCTACAAAACAAGACCTTGTCAAGAAATAAAAGAAAGAAACAAGAATTAATTAATTAATTAAATTAAGAAGTAACCTAAAGTCAGGCACTGGTGGTGCATGTCTTTAATCCCAGCACTTGGGAGGCAGAGGCAGGCAGATCTCATCCACAGAGATAGTTCCAGGACAGCCAAGGATACACAAAGAAACCCTGTCTTGAAAAACAAAAAACAAACAAAAAAAATCAGTTACCTAAAATCACAGTCATCTATAACTTCAGTTAAAGGCCTCAAACTCAGAGATCTGCCTGCCTCTGCCTCTTGAGTGCTGAGATTAAAGGTGTGTACCACCACTGCGTGGCCCAAGGACCTCTTTTGGTCTCTGTAGGCACCAGGCACACATATGGTACAAAGATATCCATGCAGGCAAAACATCCATACTTATAAAAAGAATAATTTTTAAAAAGGATTTTTTTTAAAAATGAAGAGAATAAAGCATTGATCGAAAGGCTTCACTAATCCCCCAAATCCTTAGGCATTCAGACAATATTTCATGCCTTAGCTATTCTATTTCTCATAACTTTCCATCTCAATAGTCATTCTTCCTTCTGTGCCCTGTAATGATGTCTTCCACTGATACAAGATTGATTAAAAAACAATTCGAGAATTTTTTGGTATGGAATGTACACTAATAAGCAGGCCATCCTTTCTTTATTTGCACCTCTTCCTTCAGAAACCTAGTATGAGGATGAACAGGTATTTCCCACTCATAAATATACCTTCTCTTGAAGCCTTTCACTCAAAACCATGGCATGAAACACGGCCAAGAAGAAGACAAGGCAAAGGGGTTCTAATGGGATTAAAAGGATAGCAGGACAAAGTAGACAAGAAAAATTACGTTGACAATCATATCGCATGGTCCTTACTGATGTACTCCTATATGCAATCACTCAGAGCTACCAAGTTTCTTTGTATACTACTCAATTACCCAAATTCTGCACTTTTTAGCCTTGCATACTACTTACTATTTGCCCCAGTTTCTTTTTCTTGGGAGACTTTCTATGCAGGAATTGAATCAGGCAAGCAGAGTCCTATGTTAAGTCCCTACCTGTGTCCCGACTGCTCTGAGACATGGAATCATTCTCCACATTATAGATGACTGTCCCCTGAGAATCAGAAGAGAAGTGACTGACCACAGACTCATGGTGAGAATGTTTGTAGGGATAGCTCTCCGTTGAAGAATCTGTTCGAGTGTCACTTGAGATGGAAGGCTCCCTTCCTGAAGGAAGGAGGAGACACGGGAAAAAGTAAGGAGAGAGAGAACAGCGGCAGAGATGAAGAAGGGAGATGGATGCAACAAAGACCCATAAAGCAAGAACCTCCTAGAAGGAAGGGGGCGAAGAATACACCACAGAGCCATTCTTCCCAACACCCATCTTCCAGGTAATCCAGACATACATACAATTCCTCCCACCCCTGTCCCTACCTTGCTGAAGCCCTCACTTTGCCTGCCACTGTGAAAAACTGTGGGGTTTTTAGAAAACCTATGGGGAAAGTGGAAGAAATGAAAAAGTTGTGAGACGTAAGATCTATATAGTTGGAAAGCCCCAGGCCAACCTGTCATGCAGCCAGCTGCTCACCTGTCTGAGACTCTATACTGTCCACACAGCACTGCTCACCTGTCTGAGACTCTATACTGTCCACACAGCACTGCTCACCTGTCTGAGACTCTCTCCTATACTGTCCACACAGCACTGCTCACCTGTCTTAGAGGTGCTCTGTCTTATATTGTTTTTTATGTTGCTTTAAAAGTTGACATACACATTGTTAGTATCTTTGAGGAATTATGGGGCTGTTTTCATTCTTTAGTGTGAATGCGTCCAACAGAAGGCTTTTTTCCAAACCCTTATCTAGATAAACACAACAGACAAATGGGCACTTGACTGAAGGAAGAAATAAAGTAGGTCCGGGTGAGGTACAAAACAGGAAGAGTGGTTGAAACTGGTATAAGCCCAGCACTCAGGAGGCTGAGGCAGGAGGATCACCATAAAATAGAAGCTGGCCTGAGCTACATAGTGAGTTCCAGGCTGGTCTGTGTTACATAGTGAGGCTCTGTCTCAAAAAAAAAAAAAAAAAAAAAA